TCCTTAAACGAGATGAAATGATTACAAAAGTGAGCAAATTCGCTAGACGTTGAATAAAATTATAAACATTCTTGTGAATTTCCTTATCTTGTAATTTTCACCTCATTTCGAAATACACAATCGATTTCCCAATGGTGTAATTAAATGTTAGTACACTAATCTTAATTTCAAAGAAATTTTCATCCGATCCGAAGAAATAATTTTGAATACGAGCGAAGAGAAATTTTTTGGAAATTAAAAAAAATTGTTTTTTTTTTTTTCCAGTGTATTCTAGTATTAGAAATGAAATACGCGAATACGAATAATCCGATCGTGCGTTGGGGATTAAATTAATGAGTGAAGATGCGATCGGTCGTTTCCCGATAAGAACGAGAACTTTTTTTTTTTTTTATTTACACACATGTGTTATATGCGGGCCTCGACCGTTAAAACGCGATCGTGTAAAACGACCTTGCGGTTTGAAACAAAATACGTGAGGCAAACAAGAAACGATCGGCATACGCGAAACGACGGTACGTCCCTCCATTCGTAACAAGGAGAGGATCGTGGTATCCTTCATGTTTTCTTCGTTACCGAACGACAACGTAATGTTCGCCATCTCGTCCTGGGAGGCCGCATTGAGGTACATCTTTGATAGTCGCTCTTTTTCCGGGAAACGAAGAAGGTTCGACGACCTCGGACTTTTTTTTTTGCGGTATTAGGTGTAAGGTTTAACGGCGGAGGTAAGCTCAGAGTGATAATCTGGATGAGAAAAACGAGATAAATTGGGAATATTTGAATTATGGAAAATATATGAATCTTTCGAATTTACGGAAACGTTAGAAGGGTCCGTCGCGAAGCTCTGGCATTACATCAAAGGTAACAAAGACACTCGAGTGTCTTTCTGGAAAGACACGCGAAGGTGTTTATTTCCTGCGTCTAATTAATAATTAATGACCCGAGTTCGTCGACACCTCGCGGAAGCTCGATCGTCGAGTCGTCGTAGCGATTTCACGCGTTTTTCGCAACGTAGAAATGTCTGATATTTTTCGAAACGGATGGCGAAGATTTACTCGGAGGACCGAGTATTCCTGGCGAAGGGATACGTCACGCGCGAGCAATTAGCATTTTATCGACGTGCTACCATATTTCACGATCTGTTTAACATCATCGGCGCCTCGACTACAGGACGATCGATCTTCGCCCGAGAACTTGCATGGGGACGTGCGATTATCGCGAAAAAGTGTTGCGGTATTCCATGTCTCGTGACTGCCTCTCCCCCTCCCCCCTCCCCCTGTAAACAGAATATTTTTACGATGTTTTTGCGGAATCGCTAATGGCCGTGTGGCGTCATCGGGAAGACGCTCGTTCCAGAAGCGAAACGTGAAACGTTTTAATGCCGACCCAATTTCGCGAGATTATCCGGTGTAGCAATAAATTGGCAGACGATTCGAGAATCAGGGGAAACGCGCCAAAATCCTCAACGCCCGATTATAGGTCTGTTTTCTGTGGCTGAACTAGTGTCACACTTTTGGAACTTGAAGCGAGATAGGTGAGTGTTTGATATTCGTCGAAAGCGAGAAAGAGAGTTCGAGTGTGCGGTGACAAAAAAAAAAACGGATCATATTATTCCGTTCATCGAGATGCAGGACCGAAGTGCATTTTTATAGCGATACACTCGTCTGGAGAATATTCTTCTCTTTCATCTTCTGAAAATAATTTGGCGAGTCATTCAAGGCTAATACAATGTGCTCTTTGTGCTTCCGTTTTCTTGCTTTTTACGAGGATTCTGTTGTGCACTACATTTACCTTTATCCGAAATATTTTATGTAGACGATGTAAAACAAATTATCCATAAATTGGATAATGCAACAAAGAAAGGTTACAATTAATTTATGATTGTTAATATATCTGACTTTAATATTTCGCTAAGTAAAAATATATATAAACGAGATAAGAGTTTTATGCCATCCGGTGCAACAACAAAGAACGTAAACTCGGATAATCCAGAGATTGTTTACTACGCTGAGATAATTGATGTTTTATCAAGAGCATTATTTTGATTGAAAATAACCTTGTTGATTTAATAACTGTATTGAAACACAAATAACATTTTGTTAAAACAAGAGCTCGTATTTGTGACAGAGTTGTTTTCAATTAAAATAATGCTGTTGATGTAACGTTATTTTTTTCAGTATAGATAGCACGTAAAACATGGTTTGCACACTTCACATTATGCACGTAAATGTACAATAGATTATTATTTTACACATAAATGCACAACCTTGTTTTTTACCTCTCGCTTTTTTTTTTTTTTTTACTCTCTTCGCGACCGTTTTATCGTGTTTCTTATCTCTTCTAAAGTTCGTCAACTTTTATCTCGGGCGATAGAAAACGAAGAAACAGAATAAGAGAGCAAAGGACAAGAGGTAAAAAGTGATGAAGAGCAAGAAACAGAAAGCAAAGGGCATGTTGCAGATTAAATCTTTATGCGTCAGTCAGTGGATAAACTTCTGATTAGACGTAAATAAAAACAATCTGAGAATAATTTAGAAACTGACGTACCGCGCGAGCCGATAGATAAAAAACGAGATCACTAAAATGCAAGAAACTGTAATTTCTTATTCGATCTATATCAAATGTTTGCACTATTCCTCACGTCACTCATTTCCATTTATCGTGACGCATACAGGCCAGAACGCAGACCTTTGCATAACGCATGATACATAAGAGAATCAACCGATCAGAGACCTCCATTTCATGGAAAAGAAGGACCGATTGATCAATTCTCTTATGCCTTATGTATCTGTGCTCCGATCTTGTATCCGTTTTTCATCAAAAAGAAAGGGAAGAGAAAAATTGACGAGAGAGATATTCGCTCAAACCCAAGATCACGTAAACGGGAAGATTTTTTTCGTACTGTTGTGCCCCGAGGGACACAAATATTAGCTCTCAATTTGAGTGTAACAAGTCCAATATCTATGCCCGAAAATACGCTCGCAATTCCGCTATGAATGTGAAAACGATATCGCCCTTATAGAAATTTCATATTAGTACTGACCAATTAATTACTTATTTTAAGTATTAAAAATATTGTTAACAGTAGTACTTTTAATACCGAAAATCAATGATTAATTGGCCGATATTAGTATTAAATTTGTATAAGGGCGGTGTTTCATAAGTCAAGATGCTTCATATGTTACGCTTTTGAAATAATGTGGAGTATGTTTCGGGATGGACAATATTTGAAATACATATATTTAAAATACGTATTTAAATATATTTTTGTTTTATCGAGAGTATTTTGTATCTCGCACTCAGAGAAAAGGTCTCTTCGATTTAAAGAAATGTTTCTTCGCTATGGGATTAAAGAAAAAAATTTCTTTGATTTAAACATTATTTTTTTTATTCAAATAAATGTTATTTGATTTAAAAAAATAATGTTTACACCCAGAGATGGATAAAATATTTGAAAAATTATATATTCAAATACGCATCCAGAGAAAAGGTTTCTTCGATTTAAAGAAATGTTTCTTCGCTGTGGGATTAAAGAAAAAAATTTCTTTGATTTAAACATTACTTTTTTTAATCAAGTAAATTTTATTTGATTTAAAAAATAATATTTAAATCAAAGATGCTTTTTTTTTAACCGTATGCGTATTTGAATATATAATTTTTCAAGTATTTTATCCACTTCTCTGGGTGCAGTGCATGTATGTGCATGCAGTACGGGAGTAGACGAGTGACCGAATTCGCTATTTAGGCGGGACCCGCGCTATGCCGCGTCGCGCACGCCGCGTTCCGTCACACGGCGCAGCTGCGGCAGCGCCAGCAGCAGCGGCCGCGGCAGCGCGGCAACGGCACGGCAGACGGAGTTGGAGCAGAGCATAGTCGGGTAGTGGGGCGGCGTGCCGCGAGAGGGTGTCGCGAGAGACAGGTCAGGGCTGGGGCTCAGTCAGTGCGCTCGCGTGCGGTGTGTCAGTTGTGCTGCATTCGCCAATCCTCTTTTGCTGCCGCGCGCGCGCGCTGCACTCCTTCTTTTTCCTTCTTTCCTTCCCCCCTTCTCTCCCCTCTTCCTCCCCCTTTCTCTCTTTCTCGCCGCCGCGCCGCGCCGCACCGCGCCGGAGGAAGTCACGCGTTCCGCCAAGCGCGGCCGAGTTCCCGGGCGCCGCTGGACTGGAGTCGGGACTGTTGGGTGTCCGTCCGACGGAGCGGAGCGGAGCGCGCGGCGGATTACGTCGTCGGTTAAGTGCACGCAGCACGGATAGTAACGCGACGGACGCGATGCTGACAGTACGCGCGCTTACATAATTATCCACCGTCGTCGGTGCGCATTAGCGGCGCGTAAAGCGACGCGTAAAGCGACGCGAAAGAGAGACGAGGAAGCGAGAAAGAGAGAGAAAGAGAGTGAGCGTCGTCCCTTGCGAGCGGTTGCTCGATTTTACACCGTTCCGTGATCACTCGGGTACGTATACCGACACATGTTAGAATCTCGTACATGACACGCACACACTGAAACCGACCCTGCCTTTCTTCTCCATCGCCTTTACGCTTCCTTTATCCAGCACCGCTCTCTCGCTTCCTTCTCCCACCTCGCGGGACGCCTATGCACCCATCTCTCTTCCCGCTCCGTTCCCCTCCCCCTCCCCCTCCATCTCCCTCCACGCTCTGACAGCTTGGTCGATTCACGAATCCGCCGGGGCCCCCGGATAGCTCGCGCTCTTTCCCGGGCCTCTTCAAAATAAGGCCAAAAGGTTACGTTCCTCGCGAACTTGGGAAAGTTCCGCCTCCCTTCTCTTCTCCACGCCCTTCGATCCCTTCTCCCCTCTCCTCTGTACCTTGCTCGTCCTAGTTGTGTTTTTATTGTTTTCTCCATTCGCTTTTGTTGACGACGAAGGGAGGACGTTCGCGGCATCGTCGTCGTCATTGAAACGATGACGACGATGATGACGATCACAATTGCTTTGTAAACATAAGCGAGTAGTACGCGGAAATTTATTTTCTCCGTTTCGTCCGCGCGTGTTTCTCAGGCCTCGAGGCGTGAATGAACGAACGCGCGTGACTCCCTGTCTCCCGTCGCCGTACGAATTCCCGCCAGGCGCGGGGAAGGGGTGGTGGTGGGAGAGGGGGGAGGGGGTGGAGGGGCACTCAATGAAATTTGATATCGCTAGAATCGTACGGGGGTACTCGCGATGAACAAGGTAAAAAAATCGCGTTACTTCCGAAACCGCCTCGATCCTTTGCCGATCGCGTTTGGCGGAACTACTATCCCTTCTTACACGAGACATGTAAAAAAATCAGACTCAAATTAAATAGATGCGTTAAAACTGCATTGACACGTGAAATAATTGTGTAAACTGATTCTTTACAAGTATAAGAAAAGAAAATCTAAAGTTCGCGAGACTCGAGATATTTTCTATAATATTTAATTTTGTTGTCTATGCAGAGCATTTTTTTTTCTTCTTTTAACGATATATTCCGTTACTTATGCCTACTTTGATTTTCGCCTGCCATCTGATTCTGTTTTTGTCCTTACTTGCCTTTGTTTGTTTGTTTCTCACACACAGGTCTGGCATCAATACATATATTGCACATTTATTTTCTATTTATTTTGAGACTGCTTAGAGAGAAAGCGAGAGAAAGGGAGAGAGAGAGAGAGAGAAAGATGAGAGCATTCGAGGGCGCAGACTGGCCTACGAGCGTAGCGGCGTTGTCGTACGGGGAAGACGTAGTAATGAATTTGTTTATATTTTTTGTATTTGCCGATGATCCTCCCGTCGATGGTTGTTTCGCTGGACGGTACCAGTTGGAGTATACAACAGCAACCGCAACACCAACTGCTAGTGGTGGACTCGGTCGCGCAGCAGCAACTGCAACCGCAACAGATCGTCGCGTTGAATCAAATCGTCGCATCAAATCAGATTTCATCATCGGGAGGTGATCCGCAGCAACAACAGTGCCACAAAATGACTGACCAGCGAGACCAGCAGCAGCAGCAACAGCCGCAGTCCCAGTTTCAGCAGCAGCAGCAACAACAACAGATCAAAGGCAATGAAGAACCAAGAACGAATCTGATTATTAATTACCTTCCGCAAAACATGAATGAGAAGGAGCTGTACAGTCTATTTGTCACGATTGGTCCGGTCGAATCCTGTCGAGTCATGAAGGATTACAAGGCAGGCCATATACTTTCTGTTTGAGTTCTCGTGCAAATGATTTTTATACAAAATTAATTTTACGTTTCATTTTTCAGACTGGGTACAGCTATGGCTTTGGTTTTGTCAACTATGCGAAAGCTGAGGACGCGGCGACGGCGATAAGCACATTAAATGGTCTTCAAGTGCAAAATAAACGTCTGAAGGTCTCGTTCGCTCGGCCATCTGGAGAAGAAATTAAAGAAACGAATCTTTACGTTACGAATTTACCAAGGTAATTATTTTTCTTATTTAGATTTTCGTCTTTCGATAGATGCAAGGATTATATAATTTGCATGCATTTAACTAGTCATATTTCTTGTTTCTTTCATAATAGAATTTTTTTCCTTATTTATAATTCTTTATATTTGAGATTATATTTGAGTTCCAAGATCAAGAATTGAATATGGAAATATTATATTTAAAGTGGACACAATTTATTTTTACAGAAATATAACGGAAAGCCAAATCGACGAACTCTTCAGTAAATACGGCAATATTGTGCAGAAGAATATATTGAGGGATAAACTGACCGGTTTACCGAGAGGAGTAGCGTTCGTTAGGTAGATGATTATTTTTTATCATATCCGATTTTCCCTCCTTTTAAATATTGATAAAAAGTTTACGTTTATAAGTACCGTATTTACACACGCATGAAAAAGAGAGAGAGAGAGAGAGAGAGAGACGATAACTTTAGTGATTTAACAAATATATCGATTTATGACACTTGCACATTTCGTCGAGTATAAATAACGCGCCGGTATTGAAGATTGGAACAAATTCAAAACAGCTGCTCGCGACAATCATACTATATCGTTACACAACGATGGTCGTGTATATTTGTATGCGCGTATTTATTTTGCGATAGTTTCCTGCCAAAGTATTTTTGTGTACAGCTCCTGGTTTTAGTTGCACAATTCTGATATGCTCCCTTTAGTTTGGCCCAGATAACTGCAAAACGTGAATAAAACTAGAGATAGCAGAATTGTGGAAAATAGGTTGTTGGAAATAGTTATTGCAATCTATGCCAACAGCTGGGAATCTTGCTAAAATGCCTCTTGGTTATCCCATTTCGATTTTATTAAGCTTAAAAATAAATAACAGAAATTTTTGCTATGTAAAATATGTTTGAGATCGTAAGAATTTCTCACTTTAACTTACACACTTCAAATTATTATTACCTTTCTCTGATAATGAGGTATTTTATACATTCGCGATTGTTTTATCTAACTGAATTGAACTGAAAATTACTTTCTAATATGTCCCGATATAGATTCGATAAGAGGGAGGAAGCCCAGGAGGCTATCGCACAACTTCACGGTACAATACCGGAGGGTGGATCAGAGCCGCTTAGCGTAAAAATCGCAGAGGAACATGGCAAACAAAAAGCGGCGTATTATGCGGGCTGGCAGGCGGGATACAATCAAAGCCGCGGTAAGTAATTTTATATCTTGCGAGACCGCTGCATTACTAGATTTTATCTCATAGCTTGGCAGTGGTAATCGATAAATTAAGCGCGAATTTCTTATGCGCGATTGTTCTCGTTGGAATTCATTTCATCTCTCTCGAACAAGTAAAAACAGAATTAGCACTGCCTGGTGAAGCTTGCATTTTTTGGCTTCGAACACTTCTATGCTAAAAAATATATATATATATATTAGCTGAAAT